GGGAGGAAAGAGGAGAGGAGAGGAGGGGAAGGGAGGGGAAGGGAAGGGAACGGAGAGGAGGGGAAGGGAGAGGAGGGGAAGGGAACGGAGGGGAAGGGAACGGAGGGGAGGGGAAGGGAGAGGAGGGGAAGGGAAGGGAGGGGGAGGGGAGGGGAAGGGAGGGGAGGGGAAGGGAGGGGAAGGGAGGGGGAGGGGAGGGGAAGGAAGGGGGAGTGGGGGGAGGGAGGGGGAGTGGGAGGAAGGGAGGGGGGGAGGAGAGGGGAGAGGAAGGAAAGAAGGACAGGAAAGGTACGGGGTGGGATGAGGCGAAGCGAGACAACTTGCAATTATTCATGCTGATGTGTTGCGAAAACATGGTGGCAGATCGCAGGAATGTCAGTCACAATCTCTCAAGCGGTATCTGTTGGTCTCTTCTCCCTGAGATCTCACGGATGTAACAGGAAAGGCTCATAGGAAGAGATGTCCAGCCTCGCGTAGGGATGACGGTGAAACTAACGGAGCAGGTCATTGTTGCCAGTTAGCTCCGAAGAGTAACACTCGTCCAATCTCTAGGCGCTAGAAAGAAGATCGGAAACACAGCGGGCTGACCCGTCCAAGGGAGGAACCGGAGTCATCGTGAAGGTCCAGCTGCCCTCGCCTTCTCCTCTTGCTCTGAAGGTTCGCCGGGCAGGTCCATCCCAACTGGACCTGTGACGTGATGTGGCACAACACCAAGAAAGTGAGGATCGGGTACGCGTGCGGCACAGCTGCCGGCAAGGTATCTCGACTCTCCGACAGCCTCGACCTCAGTGTTGGCAGGTCCGAGCCTTTCACCTAGCATTGGTAGCTGATGAGTTTGGCGAGAGGTGCGAAAGCATAACATGGCAGTTGAAGGAGGTTAGATTTCTGCAGGCCCAGCACAGAATGGAATCGACCCAAGACAGGGGTGATACCAAGCCGAGCTCCATATGTCTAGGAGGTATTGATTTCATTACCGATCTGCTTTGTTGCTCATTGTTGTTTCTGCTCATGCGCCACACAACTACGTCGTTTCGAAAATTAGCTCAAATGAGAGAAAGGCAACATCCCTTACAATCAATATATAATGTACATCAAAGAATAAAGTAACATTACGCGGCGACTGGAGCTGGCAAGAGAGAAGCTAACCGAGCTCGCTCTTGATCACACGCTTTCTTTTCTGCCGTCAAACCTCTTGCGACAACCTCACCTCGCGCGTCGAGGAGCTGCCTCATTGAATAACTTTCGAATTTGCCCTTCGCGCCAATCGGATTCATCTCTGACCAGTCATTCGCAGTGAAAGAAAGGATTCGACGGTATGACTCCATTTCATCCGGTTGAACGTGAAGATTCCACCTGATCTTCGAAGCAAATTGATACTCAAGCGAATTCAACTCCTCAATAGATATCCCCCCGACCTGACAAACAAAGTGAGCGTTGTGATTAAGGGAATATATAGGCTTGCTAACCTTGGCCCAAAATGCATTGTTGTAATGTGTATCGTCCCACTGTTTTGTCGCAAGCAGTGTTGCCGAAAGGATCAATCTGTGAACGTTGCATCCCGAAACAATGTAGCCAGGCCATTTCGCCAGTAATCGGTCCAGATAAATCAAGCCGAGAAGCAAGCATCCTGGGCTGCAACCCCCGTATTTGCATATGCGATCACAATAATCTTTCAGCGACACTTTGGGCCTGCGCTGAGCATGAAAATTGGATCGGATAACTGTTTCTGCATTTATCGAGTGCTTGTTGGCCAGTATCCTGTCTCCCTTCTTAGAGAGCAAAGTGAGAAATTCTGCAATCCTTGGAACAAATTCCAAATCCAAGGTATGACCTTCCTCCAGCCATGTTTCTGATTTTTCCACATCGATCTGTTCGATCGCCTTCGGCTTTGCATGAAAATGTTGAGTCTTTGACTGCGGAAGCACTCGATCAATCTCCGTTGATCCATCCTGTCTACGAAAAATAAGAGGGCTGGAAGTTTTGGCCATTTCATATCTTCCAGACAAGCCGTTGAGCTGGCAACCAGCTCTCCTCGGATGGAAGAAGGCGTTGAACCTTGGGGGCTCAGCAGGTATGGAGTCTTGAGTTTCGTCATTAGAGGTAGACGGCATTGGTAGTCCTGTAAGGACATTCTACCTTCATCGTACAGGTTCTTCTCACATCCTGTTCTAAAGCTGACACTTTCTCGCAGTTTAACGGCCCTAATCGCTCTCGTGAAATCATTGAGTTCCCTTACGCGCAAGTCCGAGTCAGATCTCAAACTCTTTTCTGTCGCCCTCCTCTTTGCAATCACAGACATCGTGCTACTGGCCAAACGAAAGCCAGGTTTACCAACGTGATCGGCTGCCGAAGCATTCGTATGCTCCACAACATGATATCGTGAGAATGCTGGTTCGCGGGTTTCAAGATGACATGACACCCCTGGAAGAGAGTGGGTGCCGGCTCCAATTGGCTTCAGAATGGGATGCAAAAATGCCATGTCCGAGAATTTGTCATCGTATCGCTCCAGTTCTCTGATCCTAGCAGCAGCAAGACCACTCAAACCATGATTGCATGAAGATTCGATTAGACAACCACAATCTGCATTCACATCGGCGATATTGTATGTAGGATTCTGCCAGTTTTTCAAATCAAACAGAGACAATCCAAGTATAGGTGGTTGAACACAGACCATAATGAAGACAACTAGAAAGCATCGGTAGAGCTTCATCTTGCCGACGTGAAACAAGGAGCAGCAAGTGGTTCCAATCAAGTTCTTTCAAGCAACACTGCTTGGTAAAGTAATGCAAACTTATTGCCACAACCTAAAAATGACAAGCAAAGCAGCAGCATCCACGGCCCCTCTGCAGACTTTGCGTCAACAACACTTCTACCCAGGTAACTCGTGGCCAAGGAAACTGCAAGGTTCTTCTTACAGGAAAGGAGGTGACAGAAATCTTGTGTTAAGTTTTGAGTTTCGGATGAATGGGTATGGGGCTATGAGCGGGTCACCCCAGGAGAGTGCTCTCTTCTCCTCTTGCTCCTCCTCTCCCTGCCATGATAGCACGCGCCTTCCAAACCAATGCTTCCCCTCCTACTCCACCCCATCCCCTCCCACCCCCTTCATACTACCCTCCCGGTACCCCACCTTGGACTGCCATGACCCACTACGCCCACCCCTAAACCCCTGGAATACCCCTTGTTATAACCGGTGTGATGTAAGAACTTACAACCACCATCCCCCTTACCCCCTTGCTACTACCCTACCCCCCATTCCTATCCATTCATACCCCCACCCCCCGGGCGACCAAGTTTGTCCTTGGCCACCCCAAACTTCACCCACCCCCAATTGCTCTTGGACCACCCCCATTGACTACCCTCCAAGTTCGTAACGTATCACCACCCCACCTACCCTATCTGATGTCCAGAAGGAAAGGGGAGGGAGCGGGGTGATAACTCCCGGGTCGATAACCAGGGGTCTGTGAGACGAAAGAAGGATGGACACGGGGTTGGGTATGAGATAAGAAGGGGTAGGCATCCTGGGGTGATGGAAGTTGGACTACAATCATGGGGTACAACCAGGAGAAATGAAGGGGTGTAGAAAAAAGAAGGGGGTTTGCAGATGGTGGGGGTACAAATGAGAGGGTGGGGGTGGTGACAGAAGTTTCCTCTGCTCTCCCCCTTTCTTTTTTCTTCACCCTCGTGCGGAGGGGCAGCATAAAGCAGCAGCAGAGGCCGCGGATTTCTCCTGCTCGCCCCCCCCCCACCCCTCCTCCTCCTCTTGCTTCCTCCTCTTCTTGCCGCTGCTCCTGCTTCTGCTTCCTGCTCCTCCTCCTCCTCCTCATACCTCCTGCTTCCTCCTCCTCCTCCTCCTCCTCATACCTCCTGCTTCCTCCAACTCCTCGTCTTCCTCCTGATAAATCCTTATATTTCCTCTTCTTCCTCCTCTTCCTCCTCATACCTTCTGCTGCTACCTCGTCCTCGTCCACGTCCTCGTCTGGCTCCTCCTCGTCCTCCTCCTGGTCCATGTCCTCCTCATCATTCCTCATGCACTTCTCAACCTCCTCGAACCGAAACAACTTCCTCTTCTCTTTTGTGCATGGATGGTCCGACCAGATGCACAATTAATTTGAACACAACAAAACAATAGCTCTCAGGGTTGAAGGCCCTTATGGCGAGGTTCGATGCCTCGGAGAGCTTTCCCGGCCAGGGTCGCGCCTGGCTGTAGCCCGAGCGGGGGGAGTGTGTCTGGACTGTGCGGGCGAGGCCGAGGGCCCATCTTTACCAATGCCGATCCTGCGCCGACTTCAAGGTGGCGGTCGCCATTGCTCACCGGGCGGAAGCTTGGTGGACTTGGGTGATGATGCGAGGCGGAACGCCACAGGCTGGAAACAGAGCAAGGAAAAGTCTCCGCCGTCATCAGTGAAGCGATCACGTGGGTGAATTGGGGGGCGGATCACCCGGAGCCCTGCTAGGATGGGACAGGCACGCGCAATGTTTTGCTCTCTCTGGGGGAAGGCCCAGGGTCAGGGGCTCGCAACCTCTGGGGAGCGTCAAGGGAGGGGAGGGGAGGGGAGGGGAGGAGAGGCGGCTCTCAGGGTTGAAGGCCCTTATGGCGAGGTTCGATGCCTCGGAGAGCTTTCCCGGCCAGGGTCGCGCCTGGCTGTAGCCCGAGCGGGGGGAGTGTGTCTGGACTGTGCGGGCGAGGCCGAGGGCCCGACTCTTTACCAATGCCGATCCTGCGCCGACTTCAAGGTGGCGGTCGCCATTGCTCACCGGGCGGAAGCTTGGTGGACTTGGGTGATGATGCGAGGCGGAACGCCACAGGCTGGAAACAGAGCAAGGAAAAGTCTCCGCCGTCATCAGTGAAGCGATCACGTGGGTGAATTGGGGGGCGGATCACCCGGAGCCCTGCTAGGATGGGACAGGCACGCGCAATGTTTTGCTCTCTCTGGGGGAAGGCCCAGGGTCAGGGGCTCGCAACCTCTGGGGAGCGTCAAGGGAGGGGAGGGGAGGGGAGGGGGAG